AAAAAAAAAAAAAAAAAAGTGCAAGTCCCTGGACTTCTCTTAATCCGTAACAGACCTGTTTCCCCTCAGGGTGTGGGACAAGTGGGGAGTGGCTAGGGGTGTGTGTGTGTGAACCTTAATTGTTTGCTCTGTACATTTTTGCACTGTTTGCATTTTTAAAAAAAGGTATTCCATTTTATTATTAAAAAATGAAGATGTTAAAGACAAGTGACGCGTGTATAACACTGAGTATAGTCCCTGGGATACAGTAATTGTTCAACAAATCGTAGTTTAAAAAACAAAATAAATGCTCCGAGTTTCAGCCCTCTGCTCTAGAGGGTGAGTTCCTTGAAGGCAGAGGCTGGGATCCCCCTGTTCACTTCCTTATCCTCAGTGCCTGCACGGTGTAGCACATGGTTGGTGCTCAATAAACATCCTAAATAAAGAAATCAATGGATGAACCACAGCCGTGACCTCCTTCCTGAGCTTCAGCCCCTCAGGTATGGCTCCCTCCCTTGGCTGGCCTATCATTGCTTTCCCTGTATTTTGTCCCACTGACCTCACTCTCTGATCTGCCCTCTGTCCCCAAAAAGACCTCCCTTTTCTGATCAAGGTCACCCAGTCTGAGATCCTAGAGTTCAGCTTTGCAGGTGGACCCGATCATTGCCGGGAGCACCAGCCCAAATCACACGGGGATTGGTACCTTGGTTGGGATGGGACTCCAGGGAACTTCGGCCGCAAAGACATAGCGGTAGGGCTTCCCGTTGTGAGCATAATTGATCCGAGGCAGCTCTAAGCCTGGAGAGAAGGACACGGCTGATGAAGTCCCCATCACCGCGGGCTGGGAACATCTACCCTTCATGCCAGGCTGGGCATCCTTTCCACAAAAATGGCTCCCTATCCAGGATAGGATACCAGAGGGAACCTCTGATAATTACTCTGGCTCTATTAGAAGGTTCCGGAGCAAGGTAAGACAGACCTAGTTTTTTAAGTGTATAAGCATCTTTAATTATCCAAGATAGAAATCAGAGAGAATTGCATGATTAAAATCAGAGGCCACTGCAATTTTTTTTAAAGCTCTTCAAAAAAAAAAAAAAAAAATACTCATGTGTGCGTGCACATGTGTGGGGGTGTAGACCAAAAAAAAGAAAAACCCTGAAACCGTGGAAAGGAGTCTCAATGGGGAATAGTTAAACAAATCTGGTGAATTCACATAATAACATACATAAAACTAATGTTTACAAAGAATTTTAATAATACGGGAAAGTGTCCATATCATAAGATAAAGTGTAAAAGGCTGGTTATAGAATTATCTCCACTATGTTACAAAAGAAGAGAAAAGGTTCAGAAGCACTGCTGGGGTTAGAACTTCCTTGTAGTTTATGTTTTATAGTGTATACCTATGGGTTTCATGTTTCATGAAATTTTTGTTGTACCTATTACTTTTGTAATCAAAAAGACCTGAAAATTTTGTCGACGTACATGCATACATACATGTCTGGTGTGTCAGGTTGAATCTCTAAGTTTAATGTTTATTTATGAGAGGAAGAGACAGACAGACAGAGTGTAAGCAGGGGAGGGGCAGAGAGAAGGAGACACAGAATCCAAAGCAGGCTCCACGCTCTGAGCTGTCAGCATAGAGCCCGATGCAGGGCTCGAACCCACGAACCATGAGATCATGACCTGAGCTGAAGTCACTTAACCGACTGAGCCACCAGGAGCCCTTGAATCTCTAAGTTTAAGCGCTGGGATGAAAGTCCCCTTTGTATGAAGTATTCCAGGCAGCTGGAGCCAACTGCTGGTGAAAATATAATGTCTGGGAAAAGAGGAAGCAGGCGGGAAGCATCAGTTATCAGGCTCTCGTGCCCCTGCATGGCTGGGAGAGGTGGGAAGATGTCCAGTCCCACAGGCAAGTAGTCGGGAGAGTTCCAAGAGATGTCCTGGTGAATGTGAAGAGGGACCACCCACATACAGAAATCAGAAAAAGATGCCCACAGTTGGCCCCAGACTTCCCATGGTGCTCCTGGGCCTCAAACCTGGTCTAGGATCGCACCCCACCCCCCCCAATCTCCACCCTGTAAATGACTTGGTTATGTAAAATATGATTCATCCCTGCGAATTCCATGAGGCTAATGAAGCCATGCTCTTGAAGAATCTTCAGGATGTAGGGAAGTTCTCAGGCTATATCCATTAAACGGAAGAAGCCATTTCTAAATATCCTGGATGGTATGGTATGCATTTTGTAAAACTATAGATCCAGGGGGTAAGGGCTTTGGAGCCTGAGAGACCTGGGTTCAGATCCTGACTCTGCTGCCTATCTGTGGGCAGGTTACTGAATTATCCTCACCTTTGCCATCCTCAGCTCTAAAACAAGAATAACACGTGCCAACACCTGCCTCCCAGGATTGTTCTGGTAACTTCTACTTTGTGCTGGACTCTCACTAGCGGCCAGGTTCTCGGTGAAGCGCTTCACGGACGCGAACTCATGTAACGTCAAGGACAACAGGATGAGACTGTCGGGGTGAGATGAGGCGATGTCTGGGGAGCCCTAGAAGAGGGCTGGCATATGCCAAGGAACCCACACCCGACAGAAAGACAATGGGGATTTCCAAAGGGTTGCCATGGACGGAGGGATTACGAGGGAGCTGTCTATTGCCATGCTTCTCAGCATTGCCCAAGTTTGCCACAATAAGCGAGAATTCTCTTCTCAGATGCAAAAGACCCAGAACGTTTTAAGCCTCCGTCTGCCCGTGCCATGTGGCGGGTGAGCAGAGATGGGGGTTAATGCCTTAAGAATTGGGACCAAGATCTATACATTCACTTCTAAAGATGACTCCCACCGGTGGGGGCCCCACAAAGAGCCTGTTCAAGCATCCACAAGATGCCGTTTACAGCAGGGGTTCTTATGGGCAAAGCTGGGGTCATCCTAACAAAGTCCCCAGGACGGTGTCCCTCCAGATGCCTGAACCCGGTAGGGGGCAGCTGACGTGGAGAGCAAGGCAGAACCGCGCCCTGCCACCCTCTAGCACCCTCGTTCCTTGCCCGTGTTGAGCACAGACCTCCCCCTCTAAGTCACGCTTTTGTCACGTGCTGGTGATACACTGAGCACAGGAACACGGTCCCTGCCTCATAGGCTCCTAGGGCAGCAGTTCTCAGTCAGGGTGATGGTGCCCCCAGGGACGTTGGCGATGTCTGGACATGTTTTTGGTCGCGCCAATTCAGGGTGCAGGTGCTACAGGCATCTGGTGGGTCAAGGCCAGGGATGCTGCTCTACATCCTAGCGCCCAGGATGGCCCCCGTCACAGAGAATGACCCAGCCCCCATTGTCAGGGGTGCCCAGGTTGAGAAGACCTGCCCTTACGGGTACGACTTTTATGGGAGGGGTTTACATGCTGTGTCGAGCCCAGCCTCTCTGAGCCATTTTCTCCTCCATAAAATGGGGCTGATGGCCCCTGTCCCGCAGGGTATTTTCAAGGGGTAAAGTAGAAATGCAAACAAGCTGTCCCTCTTCAGTAAGTCAGCCTTTGACAAATTGGAGCATTTACAGAGGCCAGCTGTGAAATCATCCAATAAGCACCCCCACCCCCAGTGCCCTCCTGGGAGGCGTTTGAAGATACGCGAAAGAGAACTGTCCCCAGATGCTTTCTACCGGGGCACCCCAAGAGCCTTTCCGTTTGCCCCGTGTCCATGCACAGCTCTTCTGCATCAGAAGGAGGTACTGAGAGGCCTCGGGGGATTCCTGAGGTCCTGCTCCTTCCCTGAGCATCCGGAAGGGAGGCAATTTACTTGCCGTTGTGGATGCTGGTTTGACTACATTTGATCCCACTTCTGCATTCTGAAAGAACCAGTTTTCAAGAAAAAAATCGACCACTTGTTACCCAGAGCAAACAAGTGCTATACCGTGTATGTTTAACAAAGTGGTTTAGGGGAGCCTGCTTGGGATTTTCTCTCATCCTCTCTCCTTCTCTCTCTCAAAGTAAATAAATAAACTCATAGCATTTAAAAAAAAAGTGCTTTAGAGGATGTCATCTTTCAAAAAAAATTTTTTAATGTTTTTAATTATTTTTGAGAGCGTGAGAGAGCACGCAAGCTGGGGAGGGGCAGAGAGAGGGGGAGACACAGAATCCGAAGCAGGCTCCAGGCTCTGAGCTGTCAGCACAGAGCCCGATGCGGGGCTCAAACTTGTGAACCACGAGATCATGATCTGGGCTGAAGTTGCTCAACCAACTGAGCTAGCCAGGTGCCCCTAGAGGATGTCATCTTCTTCTGGCCTCATGTAAACCACAGGAAGCAGCTATTATATTATTGGTATTCTTTTTTTTTTTTAATGTATATTTTGAAAGAGAGAGAGAGGGAAGGAGGGAGAGCAAACACACATGCACAATGGGGAAGAGCAGAGAGAGAGGGAGAGAAAGAATCCCAAGCAGGATCCACAATGTCAGCACAGAGCCCAGCATGGGGCTCGATCTCATGGACCCATGGGATCGTGACCTGAGTTCACATCAACAGTTTGACGCTTAACCGACTGAGCTACCCAGGCGCCCCTGTATTATCAGTATTATTCTCATTCTCTGAGAGGGTGTAGCTGGTAGGTGGTGGGATGAGGGTCCCTAAACTCCTGGCTCTTTTCTACTACTCTGGGCTACATTATCTTTCACAGGTAAAACTAATGTGCTAGTAGGTTCTTTTTTTTTTTTTTTTTTAATTTTTATTTTTTTAAATTTTTTTTTTTTTTTTTTTTTAATTTTTATTTTTTTAAATTTTTTTTTTTCAACGTTTATTCATTTTTGGGACAGAGAGAGACAGAGCATGAACGGGGGAGGGGCAGAGAGAGAGGGAGACACAGAATCGGAAACAGGCTCCAGGCTCTGAGCCATCAGCCCAGAGCCCGACGCGGGGCTCGAACTCACGGACCGCGAGATCGTGACCTGGCTGAAGTCGGACGCGTAACCGACTGCGCCACCCAGGCGCCCCGGTTCTCACTTTTTAAATACTAGGTGATTCACCTGTACAAGGCTGCATCAGCCATTAAAAGGATGTTTATAAAGAGTTCATAATAACATGGGAAATGCTCATGAGAGAGTACTGACAACTGCAGCAGAGTAAATTGTATACGCAGCCTGAGCTCAATGAGGTCAAAAAAAAAATGACACTGAAAAGAGCCTGGGGGAAATACACCAAATACTAACAAGACAGCAGGCAGTGGAATTATGGGGACTTCCTTTTTCTACACTTCCCTGTATTTTCAGGACTTTCTCCTATGAAAACCACTGCTGAAATGAAAACAAACAGGCAATCATCATTACTTGGGAGTCAAAGATCGACCAAGCACATTCCTTGGTCTCAACTTACAATCAGACTTTGTTTAGGGTCTTACCCGTCGTGGTTGTAATCCAGGAGAGGGATTGAAAACAACTGATTATTTATTGAGCTTCTACTACTCCCTGTTTCCCTACGTAGGAGCCACGGGGCCTTGAGCAAGTTACTTAGTACCTGGGAAGCCGCTGCCTCATCTTTACAGTGAGGTACAGCAGATGTGTATATGTGTAAAGAGTGTATATAAAGAGTGTATATGTGCCTCTAAGTTATTGTGCAGGTTGAATAAAATAATCCCTGAAAACGGTTTACAGGAGGGTCTGGTTAACAGTCAGTGCTAAATAAATGCTAGTTGCAAGCTGATAACACCACCATTGTTTTATTATTACCATTGTTGTTATTATATTACTCACTATACCACCGGGGGCGAGCGCAGGTCAGATGATGGAGGAGAAGCAAGACGGAGTCCCTGCCTTCACGGAGTCTACAGGGCGAGAGTTATTGTTATGGCTGACTTCTCCTCATTTAAACTTTTCTCTACTTCCCAAATTTTCCAAAATGGGATTTTATAATTAAATGAAACCTGTTTGAGTGATAGCAGCTTTTTGCCGGGAAGGGGATGCTAAGGTACTGCATCCTACAGCAGCCGGGCTGCAGGGGCCCTTTGAGATTTGCTTAGTTCAACCCCTCAACTTACAGAAGAGGAAGCAGGCCCGGAGAAGGAAGGTGATTTGTCCAAGGCCACAGAGGGAAGAAGAGTTTGGGCCCTTCACACTGCAAGTCTTTCGCTCCAAAGCAAGAGCACTGCAGGCAGTAGGGCAAAGCAGGTACAAAGGCCCTGAGGCCAGTCCCTTCCCATCCTGCAGGTCTCTGCTCAAAACATCCCCTCCCTTGACCACTCAATCCGCAATGTCGCCAAGGCACAGCTCCCAGGAAGGAACTGCTGGATGAACGGAGTGGATGCGTAACTCAGTAAGCTTTTCCTTCCACTGTCAAGGTGCAAAACATGTGCTTCACAGGGTGGCTGCAGGAATTCAAGGAGATGAAATGCGTGAAAAAGTCCCACCCTGCACCCGGCATCCCGGTGCTGTCTTGTAAACTGAAGTTCTGGAATGCCTCCTCCTGCATCGAGCCACAAATCGGCAGAGGCTCTGCCTGGTGCCTTGTCGTCACCCGACAGCAACAGGCCTGTTGTGCATGCCCTGGGCTTGTGTCTCGGGGAGTCGGTCTGCAGAGACTTATAATTCTGGCCTGAAACTGGTCAGACTGGTTGAGGGATAAACTGAATTTTTCCACATAGCAGTCACCAACGTGACTCAGCTGCTTTTTGTGGCCGGCGTGCTCAGCTTTGGGAAGAAACAGCTTTCCAGCCCAAATTCAACAAAACCCTACAGGTTTGTTTTGAAATCCCCCAACTCGAGGCAACTCTGTGCGAAGCAGCCATCTCGGTAATTCCCCGAAACACTGGCTTTGGGGGTCAGAAGCCCTGTGTGTGAAATCTGGCTCTCTGGCTTTCTGTGTGAACTTGAGCAGCCTCCCCCCCCCCTTCCCCGCCCCTCAGCCCCCAGACCTCCCTGAGGCTGTTCCGTAGTTTGTAAAATATGGGGGCGATTCGTAACTTTTTGAATGGGTGGTGAGCACAAGTGAGGTTGCTTTGACCTGCA